TGCTGATCAACTGACATTTCCAGGGTCTGAGAAAAGGTGAAATCCGCCGAATTCACCCATTGTGAAATAAATATTGCACTAACAATAGCCTATGCTAAATATTAGAAAAGAAACTATAGAAAATCGATCTGCTCGCTTTACTGGATTCCACTTGATGGCATACAACAAACAACTACATCCCGACAACTAGCTGTGGACCATCGAGTTACATCAACGCGGCTCTGTGGAACGCAAAGGAACCGAGTGGTCAGCCGAATATAAGTTTATACCAACCTCGTGTTCGCTTAACAATCGAATAAAGCAAAAAATATGCATTCTTTCTTTGATGAACTTACACGAAGTTGATAATTAGGAGACTACCGACACTCGACACAAGCTTGGGCTATCGACACGGATTACCGGCTCTGAGAAGGACGAAGACGTCGAAACGTTAGCCGAAAATAAATATAATTATCAACCTCGTGTAAGCTCATCAAGGAAAGAATACATAGTGATTAGTCACACCAAGGTTCAAGGAAACTAAGTTTCGAAAAAGCAAAAAACGTTTACATTCAAAATACCACTTTCTCTACTTCCTTAGTGGCGGCTATATATTCTTCCTTAGTGACATCTATCTCTTCCTTAGTGGTGGCTATCTCTACTTCATTCGTGGCACTCTGAGATCGTGAGATCGCAGGAAAACGCTTATGCTTGCCTTGACTGCTTGGCACTCGCACTTCGTCTGTACTCCCTTACATTGGCCAACATTTTCGGCTGGCTATCACAATCACCAACTGAGGTGCAAGGAATCGGCTACAGAGACAGAGAGAGAGAGAGAGGGCGAAAAAGTTCACCGTGCAGAAAGTGCTCGACATCGGGCTCTATGGAAAAAGTATAAACTCACACTCTCATGACGGCTGCCTTCTGGAAATAAATGAAAAGCGGTAAGGAATGAAAAACTAAAAAATACTTGTAGTTGAAGCACTTGTTCCGTTTGAGAAGAAAGCCACAATAATTGGGGCCTTATTACCGCTAGAGCTATTGTTTGTGGCTTGGGTTTTCCCCTACGCCTATCCCGAAGAGTTACAATTTCTTAGCCATAGGAAAACGTTGACGCGCCGATTTCAGGTATTCCTAATTCTGCTCTCTTCCTGTGCACATGCTGGCGGCTGTTCGAAACATGTTTCTTACAAGCACCTTTCATATGTGTGAGGAGTGAAAGGAGTGGTAGTGAACAAGTATGTATTTGCCACTCGGTTTTCATCATCTGAACCCACTTCTAAGCTAACCCTGCGAAGGGTCGCATATAGTTTACACGAACTTCAAGAAGGCCAAAACAGACCCCATAAGAAAGCTAGAGTTGAAGCGCTAAATAGGATCCAACAGCAAGAGTAGGAACATTACCAGTACCTCGACGTCCTCAACCGGTCTTTAGACAGCAAGAACCCAATAGTGAGGCTGTCATGAAGTTTTGGATACTTACGAACGAAATTTCGAAAGTCCTTTTTCACTATCGCACGAAGAGATATCGCTTCAACCTCGCAGAAGTGTAAAAATGTGGTATGCGGTAGGCATAAAAGCTGACGAGGTTTAAAAACACGGTTATCTGTTAGTGATAAAGGTGGAGAGTTTGTGGTAATCAAATGGATGTTGAGATAGCGAAAAAGCGTGTCGAAGACGCTTTTCTTTGTCGCCTATCATCTTAGAAGCAATTCAAATCCGGAGCGAAAACTGAACCACGAATTGGTCAAAATGGCAAGGGGTGCTGGTTTGAAAACACCAAATACTTTTCATCACAAAGTTCGTTTATCATTATATCCTCTCATATACCAGATTGTCAGTGAGTTGGTACCCAGTGACGATCTTGTGTCTACCGATTCATTGTTATTGAAGGTTCGACCTATCATTAGCTCTCTAGACGGGCCAACAGATATAATAACGTGGTTTTCAATTCAAATGCTTACCCACTTATCAAAACACATTCCAGCATCTTACGAACATCCAGATATTTCTGGATCGTCTACGTAACGTGTGCCGTAATAGGGCGTGCGTGATGAGGTGCTACCCCATACATAAACGCGTTGAATGGCTTCGCTGTGCAGTTCATCTTCCAACTCCTTATACAACATTATGCAAAAAAACATGTATAGCTTCAGGCTTCAGCAGCTGATGACATTCTTAAAGGGGCGCCTAAACTGCTCAAACTTCAAATGGTCCGAGAAGTAATGGGCACAAACGAGAGTGTTTGCAAAGCGAAAGCGACTGGCACCTAGTCTTGCTATTTCATTTTGCCCAAAATGGAAGCACCAGTAACCGATCTCCGACGGTTACTCTACTGTAGGTATATACATGATTGCTTCGCAATTTGCCTAGCGCAAGACGAAATAGACAAATGTTTGGCGTTATTGAATGAGCAGTCAGAGTACACTAAGTTTGCTGGAGAAAAAGGCAAAAAAAACTGGTTTCCATTCATGAACGTTCGAATTAACCTATCTGAAAACGGCTACATTACGAAACGGTAACAAGCTCAAAGTAATAAAATGTGGTGCTTCATTATCTCACCTCTCACCTCTCGCACATCAGAAAGGCGCTTATAAAAAACGTGTTCCGAGCAGCGACCAGTGTGTGCACCAGAAAAGAATAGAAGGAGGAACCTTGGAAATTTGCCTTGCAAATAGCCATTTCGAATAGCTACGAAACTGCAGCTCCTCGGGATAATTTAGAGGAATACCAAAGCCTACGAAAAATAACTCTAGCAATAATAAGGTTCCATTTATCTTGCCCTTCATCCTCACTCTCCAAGCATTCCGAATGAATTAAAAGAATGCGGAAATGGACGGCAGAGAGGAAAACCTCGTAATCACGTGTGATCTCACGCAGTATTTATGACCGGTCTTTTAATGCGAGAGGCACATTTCGCTTCCATGTGAGCTCTGTGTAGTTAGTCTCCACGTAACGAGTTGAAGACTTATAGAAAGCGGTGAATGCGAGGACATGGTGGTCGTCTAACACTTGCAAATTTTTCGAAGTTCCTAGTCTGAAAAGTGGGTTCTGAGTTTCAACCAATGGTAGCACCTATTTCTTTTTTGGGTTCTATGCCGATTTGGGCGCCCCAGATCAATCCCGCTGACGGGTGATTGCTGTGGCAAAGATCGATAGAAATAGCTGAGAGACAGGCGAAACAAAGGACCCGCATGGTGTGGTGGTGAACGCGTTACACCCTGGAAAGGACAATAGCGCGTTCGCTCCCCCCCATAGACACCTGCGGTCCAGAGTTTTGCAAATATCTCAGCAACGTTGTGGTTGTATTACTTCACAGTATATCACAATGCGCTGAGTCCTTCATCCACCCAAATCTGGACTATAACGTTATAAATGCAATGAGAATCATGATATTGACAAGGATTGAAAGAAAAGCCGCGAATCATCAAGGCGTTCGAGTGTTGACTTGGCCTTCTAAAGAGCAACTCAGTGACTGTCGTGTCTGAGCGTGATGAGACATTGTGAGTGTGCCGATTCTACAGCCACTGATGATGTTGTCTTCGCAAATTGGAGAAAACAATAAACCGTTTGAACGTAACCTCCACAACGAGAGTTGATTAGTTGGTTCTTCAAGGACATCGTTGACAATTACCTCAATGGTTTATTGAATCTTTCATGTGTTCAATGTGATAGTCGTTCGCAAAATTACATGGCAGCTTAAACAATTAACAACAGAATTCCAGACACAATAAGACGTCAAAAGGAAGAAAACAATTCGAATATAACATTAAAAGGTGCTGAGTGGAGAAATGATGCTCTTTTAGACGGACTCTTCGAAATCTCTGGAGGTTACCCAGTTAACATGTCGTCGTGTATATTGGCTTGGCGTAGTTAGCTTTCCTTCTGTTTTGAACGTAGAGCAACATAACGAGGACGATAACTGCCAAAAGAGATAGGGACGAAACCACCAGAAGAACGACGATAACAACAACAACAACACCGTTCCACCGGAAGCTTTGCAACATATCTAAAATTCCTTTTCATCAAATTTAAGTCATTATAGATAAAACAGATATCAAGACGCTCTAAATTTCTAATAAATAGCAGCTACCATGTCAAAAAAGGAGAAACCGAGGACGTTTCTAAAAGTTTCCCACTGAAATCCATTCTGATAGAAAGACCAGGTAAAAAATTGCGGATTAAAGTAGCAGAGGAGTCGCAATTGTAAAAATTCGGAGAAGAATTTCTGATAAACGAAAATGTTTGTACCACTGGTCCGCCCTGTGATTACAGATTCTTACTACCACTTTGATGTTGAAAACGATGCGTACCATGTTCGAAGGCGCCCGTGGAAGCTGTGGCGCCTGCAGCTTCCTTGAGATTGCAGATGGTGTGGTTGGTGCTACCGACACACAGAAGAAATTTGATAATGTACGCAACTTCCGTGTTTTCCAACGACGTAGAAAACAACCTAAACCCATTAAGCGTTATATTGGTCGGGGATATTTTTGGAAAGGCGTACATTTGCGGAGTTTGTTCGAATATAGAAAACAGGTGACACATTGCTATATGTTTCATATATAAAAACATATCATAAGCACTAAACTACCTTAACCTGCTGATAAAGATAGCCTGAACATAAGAGACTATTTCGGCAGTGTTTAACCTTTCATTTACTGCTTATATTTTTTTTCACGCAGGGCGTTATGTAATGTACAACCAAAATGACACCGAGATATTTACAAAAGTTGAATCACGTGCCAGATTTGAACTCGCGATCACCCTTACCGAGGACTTATGGGTTACCCACTGCACCACTGAGCCCTTTGCTTTGCATTTCTTTCCTCTTGTTTGGATAAAAATGTCATCAGCAATTATCCGTCAACGGAGATGATCTAGTAAGAGCAAGTCGGCATAGATCCCAGTTGAGATGAGGCTATACTCGAAATTACAATGTTTAACCCTTTATTTACTTTGGCAAACTTTCTAGGAGATTAATATAAATATAAGGGGACTATATATAAAATATACTCGTCTTTCTAAGGGACAATGAAAAGCTCTTTATACAACGACACCAGGAAAAAGACGTTAGGAACAAGCACTAACTCCGAAAATGGTCCATCGGCCCAAATCCCCACATCTTCACCACCATGAAAGCCAAACCTAGTTAATATGGCGCTTGGTTGTCGGTAGTGCGGCTCATCTGGAATATTTCAACCTCTGCAATAAGAAGCAGAATTTTAAAGTTTAAATGGCGTGAGGCAAACCGATATCATCATCGTGACCAGTGAAACTGTCATATCCGGGTCCCGTGGCGAAAAGCATTGCCGGTACCCAGCTCTCTGCCTGTTTCTGTCGTTCGCGTTGCTCCACTTGCGTGAATTGACTTTCTGAAAACAGTGACATAAACAATGCTTTGCTTGCTCTGAATGAATGTAGACTAACGTCCACAGCCGACCAGATGCAAATGTTACCTTACGAAAATCTTAGGCACAGGTGAGCAGAAATTCAAATTAAATGGTATTTTTACGTAGATGTTGTAATGGACTTGCTCATTGACGGCTAGTATAATGCTCTTTTTTACTTCATTCCTCTGTAGCAGGATTTTTGGGTAGCTTGATATGTCATCGACGAAAAAATGCGCCAGACTATAACAGCTTCATAAAAGGAATAATAGTAGGAAATGAAAAGTACGAAACAGCTGCTACGCCGACAGTAAGAATAATAGAGTGAAGGGTAAAACATTTGGCGTTGACCAGTCTCTGAGGGATGTGCCATGTTTTCAACTTCATTACGCAACGTCAGAGATGATCGAGTGCATTTCTGGCCTATACATCGCGGCAGTATATCGTTGTCCCATTTCAGTGTTGGCAACCTCGTAGAAAGGTTTGCCACCAATATGCCGACTCCGCACCGATGAAAGGCTTGGTGAACCAGGAAAGCGAAGTCAAACTAACGACAACATATGCGTTGCATAGCAGCTGTAACGAATGCGCCACATGCTCCCATCGGTAAGTACAACTTCGCTGAAATAAATTTGTCTGTACGGTTATAAAAAAAAATTCACGCACTACATTCACTCCATACTTTTTCTAAAAACTCATTGGTTTCTTTTCCTCATTTCCTTCTTACTAGTAGTGGTTCCTCTTGTTTCCAAAGACACTAAAAGTGGAATGAAAATATAAAGTTTGCTGGCTAATGGGCTCGTCAAGTGGTCGCAGACTGTGTTAGGCAGCAGTTCGAGCACATTCCAGTCATTCGGCAAAGTGGTAGAATTGATTTCAGTAAAAGATTGGCATAATTCATGCATATAAGAGCACTTTAAAATTTGAGAAACGAAAAAATCGGTCACTGATGTGTTGGGAAATACGGAACAGGGCTTTCTGACAACGGTTTCTTCTACTTCGGATAATATGCTCTTTTCCTTTCACAAAAGTTGGCTCTGATGAAACAAGAAGGCCACGTCGTTTCATTCAAAGTGGTCAACCATGGACGTACTTCTATCGAAGGAAGAAGAAATATCATCAACGTCTGGAGGCAAAAACTGAGACCGAACGTCCTGTGTGCAGATAACTCGGAAGGTTTCTTAATGGAGGCATCAGCCTTGACAGCGAAGAAGGTTGCGTTGACAACGATCATCCACGGACGATGATCGAAACCGGCCTTTGAAAATCTACTCGAGAATTTGTAGAACAACTCAATGTGAAGCTAGCTAAGCAACACTCGTTCTTAATTAGAAATACACTGGGAAAAGTTGAAAAGCGAGAACGGGTAAAAACGGATAAGGAATTCGGCATTTATCCAATTTCTGAGAGATGCACCATGCGTTCAACCTCACCGTTAAAGGTGTTTGAATGCAAATCTAGTTTATACAGCCACTTGCACTCGCTTGCCGATGTAGCAAATCAGCGCTGCTATTCTCCTAGATAAGTCTGATACCAACATACTGATCCAGCATAGTTGGAAGGCTTAGTGAGCCAGCGGAGCGAGATCGAACCTACGACCTATGTATATTGCATGTTGGACCTAACCGCTCTTCTAGACGCGCCCTGAGTAGGGGGATTAAAAAAATGGGTAAAGCTCTTGGCGTTGATCAATGCCTGAGAGATGCGCCGTGCATTCGACTTCGCTAGGCATCGTTCGGAGGTGATTGAATGCATATCTGACCTTTTAAATGTGTCGCGGTGGCCTACCGACGTATCGAGCCAATGTTGCTATCCTCCCAGATAAGTCTGGTACCAATTTGCCGACCTAGCAGAGATGAAAGGTTTGGTGGGCCCTGGGCACTGAGATCGAGTCCACGGGTGTGTTGCAGGGCGCCTCGGACCACTGCGCCACACGCACCCTAATAGGGGAATAGGGCATGAAATGGATCAAGAGTGAAGAGATCGTCGTTATAAAGTTTACCCTGTACTTCTAGCAAATGAAAACGATCCATTAAATAATTTTCGCTATGCGACTATCGGCCGACTAGTGTACAATGATTCAGCCAAGGCGATGCTCCTAAACACTTTCAAAAGCCCACTATATCAGAAAGAGGATTACGGCGATTGTTCAGTGATTGACAGCTTGCAGATCAATCGAACATAAACTTTCTGAGCCCTAGTGAAACGTTCAAGCTAGAAAACATCACCGTAGTATCGACGAAACTCATCGAAACTTGCAAATATGATCAGAATTGGTTAACCGAAAAGATCCAATCTTATAGCGCGACAATGATCGATCTCACT